ATGTGCTAACCATACCTGTCTCCTACTCACATCACCATAGAAACACTGATCATACCTTTACATTTTGTATAGCAAATGAACTCAGTATCCATTGGGAAGCATGTGCTTCCTATATATGCTAAAGAGACAAAGCCATAGGTAAGCAAGTTTCTTTTTTGCTTTTTCCCATAGGGTGCATATGTTCACTGGAAAGAGACAGAGAGGGAAAGTGAGAAATCACCCACCGGCGGGGATGGCCACACTGCAATCCCTATTCTGCTGTTCTCCTGAAACTTGGGGCATGCATGCACACATGCCAGTGTGATTTACAAGTTGTCAGGTCCAGGGCTCAAACCGAGGTCAGTCATGTGGGAGTCCAGTGCCTTATCCACCATGCCACCTGTTGGCCCCAATAAACAAGTTGTTTAATTCATGTTCTTCATTTTGTTTTGGTTCTTTTTAAATTTCCTTCTGTCTTACTATTTCAGGTATGATTAGACTTGTGACCACAGTGAAAAGACTACTAATGTGTCGATATGCTACAGTAGGGGCATGAGTACCTTAAGAAAAACATTCCTAATTCTCTCTTAGATTTCAGAATAAGAATGTATCACTTTCTCCTGCCTTTCTCTTCTCACATGCCTTTGTAATAGACTGCTATAGTTTGAGATTTTTGATACCAAAAACAATGTGCTATTTATTTAAGTCCCCACATATCCAAGCTGGTAAGAAATACAAAGTAAGCACTCAAAAAGTTTTTATTTAGACCCAGCCTTGTGGTGCGACTGCAAGTCTAGAAGCCCCATGCTTGACTATGGGATCTGATCCCCAGGTGGGCATGTAAACACACAGCCATATACTCATGGTTGTGTGTCCAAGATCTTGAAGAGCCAGAGATCTGTGGAAAGGGGATTGCAGCAACAAGGTCTGTCAAGGGTGTTTCTCCTTCTCTGGTGTTTGTGCAAATGCTCTCCATCATGAATAAAAAATATATTTTTTTAAATTTGTAAACTATCTTAATTGTCTGCTTTCTACTGACTCTTTTTTTTCTTTTTTTTTTTTTTTGAAAGGTTTTTGCTATAGGGTGCGTGCGCTCGCCAGACAGAGAGAGACAGAGAGATAGAAAGTGAGAAATCACCCCCGGGGGGATGGCCACGCCGCAATCCCTTCTCCTCCATTCTCCTCTCAGGATCTTGGGCACGCGCGCACATGTGCCTGGCATGAGTTTTAAGCCACCAGGTCCGAGACACGAACTGTGGTCAACTACATGGGAGTCCAGTGACATAGCCATTATGCTAACTGCTGGTCCCTCTACTGACTCTTTTTATATCATGGACTGTTATCGGTTTGTCTGCTTTAAACTGGAATATAACAAACATGCAGCAAAATACACAAAACATCAATTAACAGTTCAATAAATCACTTCTACAAGTTGACTGAGCAGAAATACAAGAGTGCAGAGCTGCTCTTAAGGATGCAAAAGCACAGGGTCCACATACGGCTTAGTGGTTGCATCACTGCAGCCAGTTTGAGTCTCGGACCCGGTGACTTTAAAATCACACTGGGTGCATGCTCATGAGTGTCCAAGATCCTAAGAGGAGACTGGAGAAGGGATTGAGGTGTGGCCATCCCCCTAGAGGGTGATTTCTCACTTTTCTTCTCTCTCTCTCTCTCTCTCTCTCTCTCTCTCTCCTCTCTCTCCAGTAAGCCCACACACCCTAAGACAAAAACCTCTTTAGAAAAAAAAAGATGCAAAACCAGAAGCCAGCAGGTGGTGTGGTGGTAAAGGCTTTGGACTCCCAAATGGCTTGCCACAATTCAAGTCCCAGATCCTACGGCTTGAAAACCACACCAGGTACATGTGCTTGCATGCCCCAAAATCCCAAGAGGGAAATGAAGGAGAAAGGACAGTGGTGTGGCCATCCTCCCCAGGGGAGATTTCTCAGTTTCCCTTTTTCTGTTTCTATCCGATAAGTGTACATGCTGTATGACAAAAGAAGACAAAACAAACAAAAACAAAAACAGCGACAACAAAAGATGCCAAACCAGCACTGTGGCAACACCCTTTTTCAGAAAGTGCAGGAGCCATCTCTGGATGAGGAGGGTGAAACCCTAGACACCACGGAGAAGAGTCTGAATCAGGCCCTTTTGGATCTTCATGTTCTGTGTTCTGCCCATCCAGACCCCCAGCTCTGTGACTTCCTGGAGGCCCACTACTTAGATGAAGAGAAGAAGCCCATCAAGAAGACCAGTCTAGGCTGGCAGGCCCCCAGGTGGACTGAGTGAGGATCTCTTTGAAAGACTCACCTTGAAGCTAGGTTAGGGGCTTCCAGAGCCTGAGGCCTTGAGGACCCCTCTGCTATATCTCCTGGTATCAGGCTTTGAGGGAAATGAAGGAGAAAGGACAGTGGTGTGGCCATCCTCCCCAGGGGAGATTTCTCAGTTTCCCTTTTTCTGTTTCTATCCGATAAGTGTACATGCTGTATGACAAAAGAAGACAAAACAAACAAAAACAAAAACAGCGACAACAAAAGATGCCAAACCAGCACTGTGGCAACACCCTTTTTCAGAAAGTGCAGGAGCCATCTCTGGATGAGGAGGGTGAAACCCTAGACACCACGGAGAAGAGTCTGAATCAGGCCCTTTTGGATCTTCATGTTCTGTGTTCTGCCCATCCAGACCCCCAGCTCTGTGACTTCCTGGAGGCCCACTACTTAGATGAAGAGAAGAAGCCCATCAAGAAGACCAGTCTAGGCTGGCAGGCCCCCAGGTGGACTGAGTGAGGATCTCTTTGAAAGACTCACCTTGAAGCTAGGTTAGGGGCTTCCAGAGCCTGAGGCCTTGAGGACCCCTCTGCTATATCTCCTGGTATCAGGCTTTGATCCCATCTCTCTCCAGCCACTAGGCAACTTTTACCACCCTGAAGCCTTCTCCTAAGCCTTGGGTCAAATGGAAAAAAAACTTTTTGCAGTAAACCAAAAACAGTTGAATGACTTTTCACAGAAAGAATATTCATGTAACCACTCTCAGGTCAAAACATAAAATTTGTCAATACCTCAATCCACCCTCAGGCCCTCCCTTAAATATTATCTCCCCAGAGGTAAACACTCGCTTAAATTCTAACCCCGTAAACTGAGAATTTAAATTACTGAACTCATACCTTATTTATTCCATTAGTTATGGGTTCCTCCACTCAACAATATGCTTGTGTGGTTTATCTAGGTTGCTTGTAGCTCTGAGTTTGGTCCTTGTCTAGCTGTGTAGTATTCCATTTTAAGAACATACTAATTTTTCCATACTACTGTTGATAGAGTGATGTCCAAGCATGCATGTTTGCCTGTTACATACGTTGCAGATATCTTTTCCCACTCTGCAGTTTACCTTGACAGCAAATAATTTTCTACTTATGTTTCTTGACAAATTGCAAGGCGTTCTGCCTGACCTATAAGAGGGTACATAGACAGTGCTTCTGTTGAAATGTTTTGTCAGAAATTATAACTAAGAGGATACATATTCAGCAATAGTGTGTGATTGTGTGTGTATGTGTGTGTGTGTGTGTGTGTGTGTGTGTGTGTGGTGAGAGAGAGAAAGTAGGGTGGGACAAAGATAGAGCAGCATGAAAGAACCCCATAGTTCTACCATTAGGGTGACCTTACAGATAACAGTCGGACAGATTGAAACAATTCCACATTATAAACCCGTGAGCGAGTTTCTGACTGTAAGTATTATTTGACTGTCTTCTGTGGGCCCCGTATGGTCACAGGTGCAGATCATGCAGTGATGAATGAACAAGCACAGACAGGGGAGCATGGGTCTACTTCTGTGAAATGAATCAAGATAAATGAAACCAGGTAAAATAAGCCAGTCACAGAAAGACAAATGCTGCAAGATCCATTTATACAAGATATCTAAAATAGGCAAATTTATGTGTCAGAGAGTAGAATAATGGTGGTTATCAGGGCTTAGGTAAAGGGGGGAGTTAGGGAGTTATTAATCAAGAGGCATAAAGTTTCAGTCAAGCAAGATAAGAAAGCTCTAGAGAGCTACCATACAACATTGCATCCATACTCAACAACAATGTATTGTACACTGAAAATTGTGTTAATTGGATAGATCTCATGTTGTGTTCTCACCACAATAACATAACATTTTTTTTGAAGAGGTTTTTGCTATAGGGCGCGTGCACTCGCCAGACAGAGAGAGACAGAGAGACAGAAAGCAAGATATCACTCCCCAGGGGGGATGGCCACACCACAATCCCTTCTCCTCCATTCTCCTCTCGGGATCTTGGGCATGCACGCACACGTGCCCAGCGTGAGTTTTAAGCCACCGGGTCCGGGACGCGAACCGTGGTCGACTACATGGGAGTCCAGCAACATAGCCATTACGCTAACTGCTGGTCCCTACATAACATTTTTTTAAATAAATGAAACTGAGCTAGTCCAGTAGCCTAGTGGGTAAGGAAGCCAGATCTCACATGGTCCGCTACAGTTCAAGTCCTAGCTTGAAAAACACGTAGGGCAGATGTGCTTGCATTTCCCAAATCCCGACAAGACGGAGACAGAAGAGAAAGGATTGCTGCAAGACCGTAACCCATTGGGGGTGCTCTCTGCCCCCACTTCTGTCTCTCTGTCTCTTTTTGACAAGCATGCATGCCTTCTGGCAATTGAGGAAAAAAGAAATGAAACCAAGATTGTTATGATATTGAAATAAGTTTATTAAAATATGGCAACTGGTGCCAAATTGGTTTATTGAAAGAGAAGAGAGGAATTGACAGCTGGAACGAAGAAACTCCAGATCATTCTCTGGGAAGAATATCCATCTCCGCAATTACTGCTTCTGGTGTTCATTGCCAGAGCTGAATCTCAGTTTGAAGCATTCACAAGGCAACCTTTGCTGGTTTATCTTGTTTATCAAGAAAGTAGCTGTGCAATAGAGAGGGGGGTGGTAAAAAGATCTGAAAGCAGAATTAAATCAGGATGATACAAGGATGTCAACGGTCTAGAGAGTAAGTTCACTCCTCAGTAGAAGCTAGAGAATCCGTAGCCTCCATAGTACAAGGGGCGGCGATAGCCATATCCGTAGCCTCCAAAGCCAGAGCCAGAGCCCAGTCTGCAGACACTGCCACATCCACAACCAGAGCCCAGGCCACTGAAGCCACCAAAGCCATAGCCCAGGCCTCCGTAGTAGCTGCCGTAGTAGTTGTTGTAGAAGCTCATGGTGTCAGGAGCTATAGATGTGTTTGGATGTCAAGGGCAAGTTTCCTGAGTCTGACTGTCACCAACTTCCCCAGGACTTTATATACTCCCAGTGGTGGGTGGGGCAAGTCACACAGGCTTGCGTGATTCTCATTGCTCAGATTAAATTGTATGAAAAAATCTCCTCCATTTTATTGTGTAAAACTTTAGGGAAATTTCAAACACTAATTAAAGATGTTTTCATTTGATTTCTCTGCAGTTTGGATTTCACAGGATGATTACGCTGTCTTCAAAGCCCTCTTGCTTTTGTCCTCCTATTTAAAGCTCTATAATCAGACATCACATCACCAAGCACCGCCAATTTCATCATCTGCAATTGTTCTCTCATTACAGCCCCTTCATAGCATCTCTGATTCTTTACTTAATTTACTCATTTCACAAGTATGTAATGCCCACCTAATATACGCCAGGCACTGTGCTTGGAGCAGGAGAAACAATTATAAGTGAGAACTGCTGTTTGCTATCTCGGGGCCATTTCTCTTTGTTTTTCAAGGTAAAGAGGGAATGGAAGACCCAACAACTACCATATAAGTCTAGCAAAATATTTGATAGCACAGTAGGACCAAGATTTTTACTTATGGAGAGAGACAAAAATACGTTATGGCAAAGTGTGTTGTTTCTTTCCACATTATTGCCTTTTGTTCTATGTTATTTATGAAATGTTTGATGTCTTCTAGCCCTAACTGCACGATGTTTTTCCTTATTAAAGATATATGCTAGAAGGGTCAGTAGACGGCCTGATGGTTGGGGCACTGGACTTCCACATGGCTGGCCACGATTCAAGTCCTGGACTTGGCAGCTTACTTGCTTACTTTCTCTCTCTCTCTCTTTATCTCTCTCTCTCTCTCTCTCTGGTGAGCATACATGCCTTATGGCAAATTAAATAATAATAATAATAAATAAAATTAAATAAATCTTTCTTTTTTAAAAAGTATATACTAGAAATAACATTGGAGATAAGGATTGTTGGGAGTTTTTTGCACAATAATATTATAGTAGATTTTTATCATCTTCTTTTTTAGAATGAAAGACTTTTCCAAAGAGATGAATATTCAGATATAGAGGCCACTCATCAGACCCCACAAATACATGTAAAAGCAGGTGACCCTGGGTCAGCAAGTGGCATGGTAGCTAAAGCAGATGGTCTCCCACATGGTCAACTGCAGTTTGTATCCTGGACCTGGTAACTTGAAATTCACATTGGGCACATGTGCGTACATGACCGAAATCCCAGAAGGGGAAGGGATTGTGGCATGGCCATCCCCCTGGGGAGGCAGTCATCTCTCTCTCTCTCTCTCTCTCTCTCTCTCTCTGGCTAACACATTCTATGGCAAAATCAAAAAAGCAGGCAGCCCTCTGTAACCATAAATATCTTACAAAATCAGCAGAAGGACTTAATGGGAAAAAAAGGCAAGGAGAGAGTTGTTTTCCAAAGGCTAGGATTTCATCTTTCTGTTTTCTCTTTTTTCTTTCTTTCTTTTCTTTTTTTTTTTCTTTGAGAGAATTTTGCTATAGGGCACATGTGCTCTCCAGAGAGACAGGAAGACAGAAAGTGAGAAATCACCCCACAGGGGGGATGGCCATACTCCAATCCCTTCTCTTACATTCTCCTCTTGGGATCTTGGGCACACATGCGCACACGCCCAGCGTAAGTTTTTAAGCCTCCAGGTCTGGGACTCGAACTGCAGTCGACTACATGGGAGCCCAGTGACATAATCATTGTGCCATCCACTGTTTCCAATCTTTCTATTTTCTAGTTAAATTATATATTGTTTACAAAAATAAGAAAAAAAGAATAAATAAATATGGCATTTTGGTCCATTCTGTGTGGCACAGTTGGTTGGTAAGGTACCAGACTATGGAGCTGGAAGCCACGTATTGACTTGATTTGAGTCCCTAATCTTATTGGCCTGAGATGCACCAGGTACTTGTGCACATACCTAAGATCCTGGCAAGATGATGAAGGACTAGAAGGAGGGGATCACAGCAAGACCAGACCCTACAGAGAGTGCATCTCATTCCCTCCACTCTCTTGTGCATGCTCACAATTCAATCATGAACAAAATAAATAAATAAAATGGCATTTTCTCTTTAAAGAATAAAGTCTACTGAAGTGTTTATAAATAAAGCATTATTATGCTCAGTTACTGCTACTGAGCCACTCATATCTAAACTGATTTCAAACGCACAAACAATAGAAATATTTTGTAGAACATCAATAGTAACTTCTGATGGAATGACACAATACTGAAACTGGCTTAACACTCTCATTTTACAGATGGTGAAATAGATTTAGAGAAGATGAGCCCAGATCACCCAGCAGGAGCAAAAGCCAGCCTAGAACCTAGTCTTTCACCTCCATTTGCTATTTTCCATTATACCACACCCCCTTCAGCACGCTTTTACAGATGTTGTGTAGTAAAAGCAGAAGCAAGAAATACTCAATTATTACAACAGAAGGATGAACATTCTGCTGGTCTAGGGGTTAACTTCTTCATTGTGACTTCTGATGTTACACTGTTTGGCCTGTTCCTTTCCTCTTAGATGAAACCTAGGGGGCTATAATTAGAACTGGACACTAGAAATAACACCCACTTACTCTCAATGAAATTACAATCCAGAAGCTTGTTGCATTGATTGTTCAAGAGATGTAAGACCAAGGGAACCAGCAGTTAGCGTAATGGCTATGACGCTGGACTCCCACGTAGTCGACCGCGGTTCGTGTCCCGGACCCGGTGGCTTAAAACTCACGCCGGGTGCGTGTGCGTGCGTGCCCAAGATCCCGAGAGGAGAATGGAGGAGAAGGGATTGCGGCGTGACCATCCCCCCTGGGGGGTGATTTCTCGCTTTCTGTCTCTATGTCTCTCTCTGTCTGTCTGGCGAGCGCACGCGCCCTACAGTGAAAATCTCTCCAAAAAAAAAAAAAAGAGATGTAAGACCAAGAGTTGAGGGTAAAGTAAATTCAACAGTTGGAGTCGTCAGAAGACTCAGAAGACTGTTTATTCACTAAGTGATAAATACTAAAGCATATCAGGGTGTAAAACAGATTCTTTGTCAGTTTCAGCTGAGAAAGCAGACTATCAATGACAACAGCTCTCACATTCTGAAGGGAAGTGCCAGTTCCCCTAAGAAGAACTTGCAAAGGATATTGCAAAGACCATATCTCCAGCCCATGGCTAAGCTCCAACCCCTAGCCATTAAATACGTTGGAAAGGTCAAGATAGGAGTCAGGTAGAAGTGATTGCTTCAGAAAGGTTTTTAAGAAACTGGGCATTTTCCAGCCAATTTCTTTCTTTTTAATTGCCAGAGGACATGTGCACTTACTAAAGAAATAGATGCATAGACAGGGAGAGAGGGAAGGAGAAAACACCCCTAGTGGGGCCTGGTCACACTGAAGTCCCTTCTCCATTTATCCATCTTGTCAGGATTTTGGCACATGTCCACATATACCTGACATGGTTTTCAGGCTGCCAGGGCTGAGATTCAAACCACGGTCAGCCATTTGTATGGGATCAGCTCTCTTATCCACAAGGGTCACCCCTAGCCAACTACCGCAGAAAGTGTAGGCATATGTTTTCCCTTTCCGCAGGCTAGCGAAGGGCTTTACACTGGATCGCTCTGTTGTATCCCCTGAATTTAGGGGATACAGTAGACTGTGTCTGACTTAGGTCTGGAGAAGTGTTTCTAGGTAAGTGCCTACAGCTGAGAGGCCTGAAGGGGATCTGGTGTTGACTACACAGACTGCCTCAGGTTCCTTGTGCAAATGTTGTCAGGGCCCTGCCTCTGCTGCTCTGGCCCCAGTGCAGGCAGCCTCCCGATGACAGAATCCACATTGCTGTGCCTGGGTTTTTCACTGACCCACGGAAAGCAGCTCCACAAACAAATGAGATTAGTGTGGAACTGCCAGGAAATGGATCTCCCTCTCTAAACCAACAGCGTTTAATCATTGACTCCTGAGAGTTAATAGATACTCCCGCTTCCCAAACCCTCCCTGGGATTGTTGTGATGTGCATGTTTTACATGATTCCTACAGTGCCCATGCAAGATTAAGGTCCAGTTGCAATGACTGTCTTAATAATTCACCCTTTATCGGCCATGCTCCCTTCCCTGTCTCATGTTCCAACTTCTTTATCAAAGTTCCCTTCTCCTCCCAAATAAACTATTTGCACTCAAATCCTTGCCTTAAGAGCAACTTCTTAGGAAATCCAAGATAAAAAGTTCCTGTATCAGGGACCAGCAGTTGGCATAATGGCTATGTTGCTGGACTCTCATGTAGTCGACCATGGTTCGAGTCCCAGACCTGGGGTTTAAACTCACGCCAGGCACATGTGCATACATGCCCAAGATCCCGAGAGGAGAATGGAGGAAAATGGATTGAGGCATGGCCATTCCCCTGAGGGGTGATTTCTCACTTTCTGTCTCTCTATCTTTCTCTGTTTTTCTGGTGACTGCCTGCGCTCTATAGCAAAAACCTCTCAAAAAAAAAAAAAAAAAAAAAAAAAAGAGTCCCTGTGTCAGGAACCATGCCTGGGAAACTTAGATTATAGAGTTTCTACTCTTAAGATAGATGTGGGTCCTGCCAGTGGCATGGTATTTAAAGCAGCTAATTTTCACGTAGCCAACTATGTGGTTCAAGTCAAAGATCCAGTGGCTTGAAAAACATGCCAGGAACATGTACGTGCGTACCCAAAATCCCAACAGGCGGCAGAGATGGAAAAGAAGAGATTGTGGCATGGCCTTCCCCTATTAGGAGGGGGGTGCTTTCTCACTCTTTCTCTCTTTCTCACTCTTTCTCTCTTTCTCACTCTCTCTATTTCTCACTCTTCCCAGTAAGCATGCATGCCTCTGGCAAATTAAAAAGAAAAACAACAACAACAAAATATGTGTAGAAATAAATACTGCCAGGAAGGAGGAGTGACATTATTTCCAAGGAGAAGAAAAGGGAAAATCTCTTAATTCAG